GATTCATATCGGTACAAAATTCAAATCAAATAACAAAAGGGAACACTTTCGAGAAAATCTCCTTTGTTGAAATGTGACTCTGGCAATGGACAATACGACTATAAACGAGGTTATGGCAAAAACAAAAGAATAACGAAAACAGGAAGACAAACATTCGCATGTAAAAAAATCCGACATTTCATATGCACCAACCTAATATTTTTTGCAACACAATAAACTGAAGAGATATTCAGGTGGCCTTACTTAGAAGGACCATTCTGTATAGTACAAACTGAAACCTTTACCAGGTCAGACCTCTAGAAGAATTAAATAAAAACCCTGGAACACAAGGCTTGCCTTTGACTATATAGTCAAAGAGGCTTGCAGTTATAGAGAAATAAACCAGTAAATAGAAATTGGGATATTATGCAAAAAACTGTAGATTTCATTTTTAAAATTGGAGTGCATAAAAATTCACAGTCTCTCAGTATATACATTGAACGAAGAGAACTGAACGTTCACTTTCCAGTCAGGAATTGTATTTTCAGTGAAACAGATTTAGGAACGAAACGAGGAGAGACTTTGCCAAAGAGATTCTAAGGAGAACCGTCCAGGAATCTTCAAAGTTTGCCAAATTACAGAAAGAAGTACATGTTTAGAGCAGGCATGGCCAACTACTAAACATCCCATTATTGCCAGACTGATTTTAAATAATTATAATAATCAATATAACAAATCCACTGATTTTTCATATATTAAATATTATTAATCACATCACTTTCACATATTTTATATTAAATATGTAATTAAATCTAATTAATCAAAAATCTCTATAATAGAAGACTTCTGTAACTTCAATTTAGATTTCTTAACACATTCCATGCTGAAGAGCTTCTATTTCTTCTCGACTCTTCATTTAGGCCATTTGACCTTTTCTTAAAGATTAATATATTATAACAAAATATTTCATTACATCATCAATCCATAAGTAATTAACTTGTATAGAGTAATTACTACATTTTATGCCATCCATGGTACACGTGTAAACAAACTTGTTATAAAATACATGATTTTAGTACATTATATAAATATGTCTGAATGGAAAACGTGTACCATTGATGGTACAGGGAACGTGCTAATTAATAATGTGAGT